AGCTATGACTCACACTGACCACCAGGGGGCAAACACTCAATTCAGGAGTGGAAACCACTGGCATGGAAACATGGAACAGACTGATGAATCTCAGAGGGAAGGAGGGAGGGGGGAGGGTAGGAAGAGACTAACCAAAGATCTTATACGCATGCTAGAGGCCTGGTGCATGGATTTGTGTACCAGTGGGGTCCCTTGACCTGGCCTGCGCCCTCTCGCAATCTGGGACCCCTCAGGGGATGGGAAGGGAGGGAGTACCCGCTGGCAGCCAGCAGCCAGCAGCCGGCAGCCGGCAACAGCTAGGGGACCCCACCAGTGCACAAATCCATGCACTGGGCCTCTAGTATATTTATAACATAAGCATAAGCAACACCAGCAAAAGATAAATATTCTCTATATATGTACACATATAAATATAGAATACACACACACACACACACACACACACATATACATGCAGTATTTCTATTCTAATAATGTTGCTTTCGCTTATGGTGCTAGAGAATATAGTAAGTCCTCACTTAACATCATCAGTAGGTACTGTGACTAAGTGAAATGACATATAATGAAACCTACTTTAAACACAGGCTAATCGATACACTAGTAAGCAAGAGCTGAGTTCCTGTGCATCTCATCAACATTATAATAAAACAATGTTATTTGAGGACCTGCTTATACTCACAGGTGAATCTTGAAAATTTTATGGTTTCTGTGCCAAATCTGCTAAGAGAATTTCAGGGCAGATAAAGGAAGGTATATCTGGGTTACAATCTTTTACTCAAAGGTAAAAATCCTTTTTAGTCTGTTTGAAAGAAAAATGCAATGAGGGGAAGCCCACTCAGACGCCTGAAAATACTAGTGTCCACACTTCCAGAACACCTCATATTTGAAAAACAACATGGCAGGACCCCTTGAAGTTGGAGTTTGCCATGGAGATGTTACACTGTGAGCATTTTCACCCCCAGGCTTAGGGATATTTCAGAATTGTTAAATAACCTCAACTAAGAATTTTTGTTCAAAATGAATTGGATATTTCAGCTTCATTTCCAAACCCTACACTTTAATAAGCCTCTGTGCCAAAAGAAGAGCTTTGTACCTCTTGGTCATCTCGAGGCCCCCTGTTATCTCCAAAAAAAAGAGCTGAGGATGGAAAAGTCTCAACTTACCCAATAGGACTCTTGCCTACCAGCGTTTAGTCCCTTGTGTTCTGGGCATTGGACCTTTGTCCAAGCACACGCCAAAAGATGTGTAACAACTCAGACAGGCTGAGTTCATGTTAGAAACACTAGGTTACAATCTCCCAGGGAAGCATTTTCTTTCTAGGGGGAGGAAATAATTGGGAGAAGACAAGTAATCCTTGAAGATGAATGAAGTAAGTGACTGCATGAATTTGTGCTTAAATCTTGAAAGGGAGCTATAATCTCAGGGTGCTTTGTGTCTTCTCATGACATGTAAAGCCTTCCCATCCAGCCTTGTGTACAACTCTTGCCATTTCCCCCCACTCTACACTCCACATCAACCCATTCTGTCCACAGGAGAATCTTTTACAGTTCCCTGCATAACCACAAAGAAAATGGCAAAACTATGAACACCCACTCTGGTGTAGGTGAGAAATCAGCCTTCACTGTGCCAAGCCACTGAATACTTCGGGTACTTTGTTACATCAGTTAGCTTACCCTAATATCCTATCACCTATCTCATGCTGCTTTGAGATTCATTTGTAGGTCTCTGTGAGCTCCATGAGGGGACGAATTCTGGAGGTTTCATCTCTAGCTCCTATCATAGTGCTTGACACACAGTAGGGGCATAGTAAATATCTGTGGAAGGAAGGTCAGGAAAGGGAACAACTCATGAATGGGCACTGTAGCACAGAAGAAAGTCTGCTCTGGGAACATTTTTATCCCTTGCTCTGAATTATCTGAGACCCTAATGAGTCAGTTTTGCCTCTCTGGACCAGTTTCCCTGGTTCAACTCCAGTGAGTGAGCATCAGTATCACCTGGGGGGGCTTGTTTACATCAAGATTACCAGGCCCACTCCCAGAATTCCAGATTCAATTGGGGTGGGTTCAAATAATTTGCATTTCTAATAAATTCCCTGATGATGCTGATACTGCTAATCTGGGAAACACTTGCCTAGATAATCTCAGATCTCTTTTATCTCTAAAGTGAGTAACCCAGTAATCCCCATCAGTGCTTGGGAAATATCAGGGCCTGGTGATCTCCAGTGTCAAACTTACGAACCAAATCATAGATGATTTTCCAAGAATTAGTTTAGCATTTGGTACCAGATTAGAAATATCCTGTGTTGGCCCACCATTGGCATTCACTTTACTGAATAAAACCCCCACCTGATAGGACACTAGTGCCTCCAAAATCATTCAAATTTTAAATGTGAGAAACTGCTGGAGTACCAGATTACTTGGTCAGAATTTTTAAGCCAACTCTTCCCGATCCCTCTCCTTCACTTCCACTCCCACTAAGGGCATTATGATGGGACCATTTTTTGAAGGGATTAAGCAGCCAGTGAATGGTTCTCTCTCATTGATGTTTCTTCCAATTGCAGACCATAAATAGACTGACACCAAGACTCCATAAAAGCCACACTTAGTTATCATATATTTATTTTTAACATAGCACCCCAGTTTCACATCATATACATTTTCCAAAGTTAGAGATTCTTAACCTACTATGTTCTTCACAGACTTTCCAACAAGTGTGAAAAAGAGGCAGTAAAGGTTAGCTGGAGTCTACAAGTCACAATCCAAATACAGGATACCCTATATTTATTTACATTTAAGATCAATATAGATAATGCTCCCAATGCTTAGCAAATCAATGAGACTGTGGCTGAGTAAATATTAGCACAACTTATTAGCACATACTCATGAAAACACAGAAGGCATCAAATATATACTTTACTGTTACTTGTTTTACTGTTCAATTTACCTGTCATGAAAAAATATACATGTTTACCTTCAAGGTTAAAATAGACCATCAGCTCATTCTCTCTTCTGGCCCATTGCTACGGCAACTAAAGTGGCTCTTCCCACCTGTGGCTCACTTGAACATATTTGGCCTGAAGAAAAACAGAATGGTAGTGCTAAAGAAAAAGGGACACCCAGTTTCCAGGGTGGATGCAACTGAAACCCTCACACAAGTTGCCTTAAAACAAAACAAAACAACAAAATTCAGTTGATCTAGACACAACATAATGGGTTTATTGTGTCAACTGTTCCATCCCCAGGGCATAATGGAGCTATGTTTCCTTACTGTAGTCCCCAAATTCCAATGCATGCCAATGTTCTCTGTTCTTCAGAATCATAAACCTGCTTTTTCCAACCTCACACAGCCATGAATTTAGCTTAGAGTGAGATATGAGCACTCACAAAACATAAAAAATGAACACCCCTCAATTGTTAAAAGCAGACCAAGGCTTCTATAACTTGAACAAGTCATCTCAATTGAAACCCTGCAATGTCTTTTAGAAAAGGTTCCTTTAACATCATGTGTGTTAGTCAATGTAGAAAATAACCATAGAAGCCTAAAAGCAACTACATACCTGGAATGTCTTGCTCAATTAACAGACTGACGTTTCAAGGAACACTTGTAAGTCAGCCTCGGAAAGCCTAATTTTGAGGAGGGAAGCAGCTCTTAGAATCTGCTTGTATTGCTTTTTAAAGTCTGGCCCTCTATGTCTGCTGTTCTTACAGTTGCTCTTGGGAAGGTCACATAAATAGATGCATTTCTCAATGCAAACAAGCAAAGCAGGGTGGCTCACAGAGTAAGTCTCACACTCAAATATCCATTAATGATTTATCTGTTAGCATTGGTGGGCAGCTCCCCTTAGCCTGTGCCAAAAGAGAAGCAAGATATGCCAGCTCAGGACTCTAAAAACTCCAATGTCTACTTTGTTCCACACTAAGTCATGGTACAAAAAAAAATGACAAGAATACCAATAACTAAAGTGTAAATTCAAGTAATCCTTTGATTAGAGTTTTAAAAGTGTACACTTAAAACAGAATAAACCAGTTGGAAAGAGAAACCAAAGTTACTACTGTTCTATTTAACTAAAAATGAAAAAGGCCTCTCAACTGATATTTCATTTTGTTCACACATTCATAATTTTCAAGCTACAACCTACTGAGTCATACTTGTCAATATGGAAAGACCTGGTTGCTAAGATATTTGAAAATCTTTTTTATATGTTTAAAATCACATTTCCCTTGGTGATATATAGCCAGGAGGTGTGATTCTAGTTTGTGTTGAACAAATGTTTTTAGCTCTAAGGTGTTATACTATAATTGAGATTTTCAAACTACTGCTTAGAAGGCATTTGCAAGAGCTTGCCTTAACTGCAAAAAAACACACATCCATTCCAGATTACTTTCTTATTGATCTTCTGAACACACATCTATTATCACCATGAGTATGAGATCATTTAAGAAATAGACAATATCATTTAGAAACAGACTATAGAATCAAGTCACATATGAAGAGAAGGATGCTTTATGATAGTTTAGACATTGGTAGAAATCAAAGGAAAACTCATGTTTTTGACTACTCACCCTAACGTATGCTGAAATTGAACATTTGCAACCAAGTAACTAAAGATATATTGAAGAAAACTAACTTACTACATATTGAGTTCATTTCTAGTCTATTTAAAAACAAATTCCCATAAGGAATACAGGAATGGAATCCATTCAAAGCAACAGCTCTCAAAAGTTCTGCCAAAAAATTCAGAGTAACATTGCATCATGAAAGGTGAGGTGTTCGAAAGAACAAATAGTTAATCATATTCTTTCCCTTCATATTTTATTTTTTGCTTCAATCCATGAGAAACATCTAGAACTAATATTCATTAAAACATGTTTTAATATTTTAAGATTGATTTAGTAAATAAAATTCAACGAGGCAAATAGAAGAAACCTTCTAATCTGTTTTAAATATTGCTAGAGGCTCAATGAGTTAACTTAGAATCCATAAATCAGGTGGGCATCTCAACTCTGCCACTAATTCTATGGATCCTTGGGCTAGGAACTGTGTTTTCTCAGGGCCTTGAATTCCCTAAGCAAACAGCAAGAGATGGATACAGGTCCTCAGAGGTCAGACATCCTAATTCTCCAATGACAGTAAAATGGGCATAGATTCCAGATAAGCTGCCTCCTCTCCCAACCAGGCCCAAAGCACTTCTATAATATTAATAAAGCAGTTAAATCTTTCCAATTAAAGCAAATATCTGCCTTGATGACAACACATACTTCCATTCCAGATATCTATCTTTTGGTTTTGCTCCATGTCTACTGGATAGGGAGTTGGAAAAGGCAATATGCCACATACAAGAGACATTAAGGTATCCAATAGGCCCATTATCAACTCCTACTGTACTTTCATCCTTGGGACTATGTGACCTCTATGAAGGACCACCACTTACCAACAAGGTTATTAAATCCCCATAGATGGGGGCAACATTGGCCTTATGTCCACAGAACTCTGCCCAACAAGCAGGTCTAATTTTGGAGTAGTTTTATAGAATAGGTATAATAGTAATTTCAATAGCTCAGACTTCCTATAAATCACATTAAAGGCGCACAGAAACATTATTGGGAGTTATAATCCTAAATTGAAAGTATACGTCCTAAGAAAACAGAGAAACAACGAATGAGCACTAGTTAGGTAATAATAATGTGTGTAACTGTATGTGCATCTATGTGTTTGTGTTTGTTTTTTAAAAATATACTTCTAAACAACTAATAAACTGAGGTCACTAAAGGTCCAGGTATAGATATTATTGGTATGTGCTTTAATGCAATGTCTATCTTAAAATATTGGTGAGACTATGCAACTCACGGAGCCTTGATTGTCTGATGCAAGTTTTTTCCTTTAATGAAAACCAAACCAACTAAACAAAACCCCAACCTAATTTGGCTTACTCTGTCACTGGTTTGATGGGGGAAAATGTCAATATTTTAAAAGTACATCATATAACATTCCTTGGTTTATATTTCTGCTTAATGGATATGAAGTGCTATCTCGAGTGAATGTGTATGTACTGGAAGATTATGGGATAAAGTGCATAGGCTGTTCTTTCTTGGATTTAATGTAACAAAAGGCAAACATACTATAAAATGTCTGCAACAAGGACACTGTTGATAAAATCTGTTGCAGTCCCCAGATCTGAGAACATGGGAAAGGAGGTTAACTTTGCACTGACCCATTCATGACCTTAGGAAGGGTTTAAACTGATTCTGAACACTTTCTACAGGGACCAAAATGGTAGCCAAAGGGGAAGGAAAAATGTATGAAATAGAGAAAGAGTTAAAGATTCCTGATTTTTAAAACCAAGCCAATTCAAAAACCTTTAATATGCACAGAACAAAATCAACAATTTGTTTTTCTTTGGAAAAACATCATCTGTTTAAGCCTTATTTCTGCCATTAAGCCATTGATAAAGCTTGACAATGGAATAAGGAAACATTAAATAAACTCCTACTTTTCTAAAAGCTGTCAACTCTATTGAAATCCAAGACTTAATCTCACATGCTACAAACCTATCCAAAACACTTCAAAAGGACCCTAGGCACACCCCACCCCTCTATTCTAAGAATGGTTAAAGTAGCAAAATGCATAAGAGACAGCTTTTCTTGCCATCAGTCTCTCAAAGTGATATTAAAGCTGACGTGCCCTGATCCCTGTGAGGGTTGGTCAATTCCTATTTTCAACTTGAGTTTTCAGGTGAAGCAGCAGTTATCGGAATTTCTATAGGATACTGGCTTCTGTAATTTGAGCTCACTATTTTACCTCACGTACACTGGAGTCAGTTGGGCCCTTCTGTACTGCACATGAACCAATGACTTCCCAAGAGTATGCCTCACATGGAACCAAATACTTAAATATCCAGTGTTGGAATTGGCTTCCTTTCATTATTTCTTCACATCCAATATACTCACAATCCAGGTTACAATAACAAAGACAAAAATAATTACCAGAGATTGTTGAATAGTTAGTAACAACCATTTTCCCTCTTCTTCCCCAGTTTGAATACCTGGGTTCCAACAACAAATGTTTATCAATCCAAACAGTCTCATCAGCCTTTCATATTTGATGGGTAGTTTCCAAATTCATGCATTTACAGATATGTTTTCCCATGCAGGATAAAAGTAAGAGATTTGGCAACTATTTTAATATGATCAGGAGAGGCAGCTAAAGTACATTGCTCTTGCCTAAAAATTTACATGAAAGGACTGAGTTATCTGGATTGACGGCCTAGCTGGGCCAAGTTAAATAGATCACTGACAAAACGTCCACTTTACAGAGGTGTAAAGACCCAGTAAGTCTTTGACATTCAGTAGAAAACAATAGTTATGTATTATTTATAGCTAGATAAAATCAAAATGGCACTAGAAAAGCAATTTTTGGCATATGGTGGTGGAGGGCACAACGCCAGTCTAATTCTGATGCTTTTGTTTTATTTTAGTTTTTGTTTTATTATCATCATGCCAAAGACTATACAGTTAGAATTCCAATTATTCAGGAAACCAACCTACTGTACATGATATACATCCAAAAATAAAACAAGCATCCTAAAGATACGAGATTATAAGGTCTTGTACAAATAATATATCTTTAAATAAATAATGCTCTACATTGTCATTTGCTAGAAGGTTGATTTTTGTTAAGGAGAAACATCTAACATTTCAAGAAAGTACTGAAGAATGAGAGAAATTCCATTGATAATTACAATTTCAAGTGTGATAATCAGTTATATATTTCCATCACAGTAAAGCACATAAGTATAACAGTAAAGGTGACATGGATTCTATTCCACTGCGTACAGCTTTTGACACAGTCAGACATCTATGACAAGTAGTTGGATTGAAACAGTTAAAGGAAAGATCTTGGCAGAAAAGGTCACCCGCTATTACTTGGATCTTGGGGTCACAACACGGTAACTGGACGAAGTTGTTCCAATTGGTTTTCCAATGCAATCCGTTCTTGATGAACCTCCTGAGTTATATAAAGCAGAGAAAAGAGAAAAATGCAAAGGGGTCATTTCCTGGGTTCATTCTTAGTTCATGAGATATTAAAAAGGAATATAACTAGACCCATAAACACTTAAGTACCGTATGACTCAAGGACGGGTGGACTGGAAGGTATCATGTTTATAGCTGATGATTAGTCAAAAGAAGTTTCACATTCTGTAATCTAACTCTTTTCTGAAGATGATGAAATGGAACTGACTAACACACACACACCTGCCACAGCTTCAATCTCACCTTCAGTTTTAACAGGATCAGTGACTGGCAAAGAATAATGTTAAACATTAAAAGATTGATTAGTGAGTGAGTAGAAAAGCAAAAGTAGACTCCTAATACTGAGAGGTGAAGCTATCATGGACTCAACTTCTATTCAATCTCTTGTTTCTAATCCAACACCATACTCAGTCAGATTTGAAGGATAAAAAAGTACACTTGGATGGCCCTCTACCAAAGTCTCATCTAGGCTGCTGCACAAAATATGGCTTGAGGTGTGACTTCTGGGTGAAAGGCAGAAAAGAAGACCAGCAATATGCTATTTGGGAATTCAATTTTTCGGCCCTAAAACAGATTTACTGGCAGGGAGAGAGGGAGACACATAAAGGCATTCTTAGCATTTATTCACCCACCCTCCTATCCACCCATCTAACAATCTGAGATCTATCTACTACGGGCCAGATCCTGCTCTAGGTGCGATCATACCAGCAAAGAACAAGATAGATCATACAATGAAATATTATTCAGCCACAAAAACAAAATCCTGCCATTTGTGACAACATGGATAAACCTTGCAGCTATTATGCTAAGTGAAATAAATCGGAGAGAGACAAATACTGTATGATCTCATTTATATGTAGAATCTAAAAAAGCGAAATTCATAGAAACAGAGAGTAGAATGGTGGTTGTCAGGGGCTAAGAGGTGGGATAAATGGGGATTTGTTGGTTAAGAGCACAAATTTCAGTCATAATATGTATAAGTTCTGATGATCTAGTGTACAGTATAGTAACTATACTTAACAATGCTGTATTATACACTTGAAAGTTGCTAAGAGAGTAAATCTTAAATGCTCTCACCACATAAAAGAAATGGAAGTTATGTGAGGTGATGGATTTGTTAACTAACAATACTGTGATAATCATACTGTAATATATAAGTATAGCAAATCAACATATTGTACACCTTAAAATTACACAATGTTACACATCAATTATATCTCAATAAAGTTTAAAAAATAATAGAACTACCATATGACACAGGAATCCCACTTCTGAGTATACGGTATATCTAAAGGAACTAAAATCAGTTTCTCAAAGAGATATCTATATTCCCATGTTCACTGAAGCTTTATTCACAATAGCCAAGACACAGAAGCAGCCTAAATGTCCATTAATGAATGAATGGATACAGAAAATGTATACATGCAATGCAGTATTATTCATCCTATAAAAAGAAAGAATCATTACTGGACTTAGTGTGGTGATCACCTCATAAGGTATATAAATGTTGAATCACTATATTGTACACCTGAAACTAATATAATATTGTATACCAACTCTACTTAAATGTAAAAATAAGTAAATAAAATAAAGGAAATCCTGCATTTGTGACAACATGAATGTACCTGGAAGACAGTATGCTAAAGAAAATAAGCCAGACACACAAGGAAAATACTACATGACATCACTTATACAGTATGATGAATCTAAAGTAGTCAAACTCATAGAACCAGAGTGTAGAATGGGGGTTGCCAGAGGCTGGAGTAAAGGAGAAATGGGGAGGTATTATTCAAAGGGTACAAAGGTTCTGTTATGTAAGATGAATCATACCCATGATCCATTTGTTTATTAAACCACTTTATTGAGGTATGGCCGTCATACAAAAAAATTGTACATATTTAATGTATACAGTGTGATGAGTTTGGATATAATTATATATCCATGAAACCATCACTACAGTTTATGCAATAAAACTATCACCTCCAAAAGTTTCCTCCCACCCTCTTTATTTATTATTATTATTTTGTGTATGTGATAAGAATACTTAACATAAGACCCACCCTCTTAGCAAATTTTTAATAAATATATTACAATAAAGCCTTTAGGAAAAAAAACACAAGAGAGTGTCTCCATAATTTAATATAGGCAAAGATTCCTTATATAGGAAGAATGCCAGAAGCCAATTCCAGCATGTCATAATTGCAAGAGTTTCATCGAAAGGTTGATGGAACTTGGGGACGCAACAAGGGCTGAGTCACATATGTTATCGCCTGTTGGGAATGGCTAAAGGCATTTCCCCAAACCTGAAAAGGGATGACTGCTTGCTGCCAGACAGCTCAGGGCATCTTAATCTATATGTTATTGCCTCCTACTGGCCAAACACCTAAACAGCCATAGGCAAATTCTTCCAATCTGACAATGGACTTTGTAAATGAAACCTAACCCTTTGATGTGTATATCTCTGCCTCACCTTAGGACAATTTGTATTAATAAATAGCATGGGGTCCTGAGACGAGGAGAACTTAGTTCCTTTAGCTAGGCTCCTCTGACCCCCGAATGCCTTTCAAAATTATGCTTCATCCCTGGACTCTTTATTAAGTTACACACAGCCCTTCTCCAGATTGCTGAGCCCTTCTAGATGCTGGAACAAGAACCCTGGCAGAAGAAAGTAATAATGATAAGAGAAAAATGATAAATTAGACTTTATCAAAATTCAAAACTACTGTTCATAAAAAGACACGGTTAAGAAAATGAAAAGGTAAAACAAAGGCTGGAAGAAAAGATTCATAAAACAAAGCACTAAAACCTCAATTTTTAAATGGCCAAAATTTTGAAAGGGGACTTCATAAAATATATGAAAGGTATAGAAAAGTGCTCAACATAAGCATCAAGAAGATGCGAAATTAAAACTATATCACCACAGGACTGACTAAAACTAAAAGAGTAACACACTAAAAGTTGATGAGGATGTAGAACAATTGGAACTCTGCTATATTAGTGAGGGTTAATACAAAATGCTCTAGCTACTTGGGAAAAACTCTAGAAGTTCTAATAAAACTAATCACATATTGTCACCACCTAATCTACAAATCCTAATCCTGAGTAGTTACCCAAGAGAAGTGAGAATGTATTTGCACACAAAGACTGATTCAAAATGCAGTTTTATACAAAACTAGAGGCCCGGTGCACAAAAATCTGTGCACTCGGGGGGTCCCTCAGCCCGGCCTATGCCCTCGAAGGATGTTCACCTGCTGGCTTAGGCCCGCTCCCCCAAGCTGGCAGTCAGACATCCTTAGTGCTGCTGAAGAAGTGGGAGAGGCTCCCGCCACCACTGCTATGCTGGCAGCCATCAGCCTGGCTTGTGGCTGAGCAGAGCTCCCCCTGTGGGAGCACACTGACCACCAGGGGACAGCTCCTGCATTGAGCATCTGCCCCCTGGTGGTCAATGTGTGTCATAGTGACCAGTCATTCCCAGTCTTTCTGCTGTTAGGGTCATTTGCATATTACTTTTTTATTATATAGGATAGAGGCCTGGTGCCTGGGTGGGGGCCAGCTGGTTTGCCCTGAAAGGTGTCCCAGGTCAGGGTGGGGGTCCCTACTGGGGTGCGTAGCCAGCCTGGGTGAGGGGCTGAGGGCTGTTTTCAGGCTGGCCAAGCCCCCCAGCAACGGAAGCTCCCAGTCTCTCCTTTTTTTCTTTCTTTTATATTCTGGGATTTATTTACCATCTCTAATTGAAACTTTGTAGCCTTGAGTGGAGCTCAGAGCTGGCCAGGGCGGGGCGGGAAGCTTGGCTTCCTCCATCACCAGAGGCAACCCAAGCCTCCTGCTTGCTCCAGCTCTGTGGCCACGGCCAGCTGAAAGCAGATATCTGGGGTTTATTTATCTTCTATAATTGAAACTTTGTTGCCGCCATCTTGGTTGGGTTAATTTGCATACAGTCGCTCTGATTGGCTGGTGGGCATGGCTTAAGGCATGGCGAAGGTACGGTCAATTTGCATGTTTGTCTTTTATTAGTGTAGATAGCTAAAACTGGAAACAGTTCAGGTGTCCATTAATATGAGAACTGATAACCAAATTGTGGCATATTCACTGAATAGAATACTACTCAGCAATAAAAAAGAGCAGATTATTGACACATACAGCAGTATAAATGAACTTCAAAACCAATATTAAGTGAAAGAAGTTTCACAAAAAAGTGAATGTTAAGAGGGGTCAGAATCGACCAGGAAGGAGCAAGAGGGAGCTTCCCAGGATGATGGGAGTGTTCTGAAGCTTGATAGGGGTTTGGGCTCTGTAAGTGTATGCATTTGTTAAAAATTCAACAAATGTACCCTCAAGATTTGTGTGTTCACTGTATATAAAATGTACATCAAAAGAAATGCCTGTAAAAATATTAAACTCTAGTTAATGCTATGCATGCTGAAATATTTATTGCACATGTACAGATGTCTTCAATTTACTTGAAAATATGTTCAAATATGATGAACTATGGATAGATAGAGGAATAGATAAAGAATTGGATAAGAAAAAATAGAAATGGATAAGTGATAAAACAAGTATAGGAAAATATTAATGGCAGAACCGGAGTGGTGGCTATAAAAGTATTTACTGCATATTTCTTTCAACTTTCTTGAATGCTTGAGAATGTACATAGACATCCAGAATTGATAATAAAATATCGAGGCAAGCAGGTTAACAAAAGAGAAATAAAAAAAGGAATAGACAGCAGAGAAGTAGAAAAAAAATGTGCCAGGTTTGGTTTCCCAAAAGCCAGTTAGAAAAGTGTCTTCAGAGGAGGGAGAGGCCAATTGTGTAGAATTCTTTGTAAAATTCAAATAATATTAAAACAGGCTCATTGGATTTGGCCATAAGAGGAGTGGAGTGGAGGAGAAGGAAGCCGCACTGAAATGAAGGGAGAGAAAATTGTAAGTGAGGAAGCAGAGATAGTAAATGGAAAGGACTCCTAAGAAACGTGTCTGTGAAGGAGGCCAGAGAGACCCACTGCAGCTAAAGAAGGATAAGGGAGCATGTTCACATGTGGATGGGAATGAGCCAGTAGAGAATCAGGAGACTGTGTCCCCTGAAAAGATATGTTTAAGTCCTAACGCCCAGTACCTGTAAGTATGGTCTTATATGGATAAAGGATCTTTGCAGATTTAATTTATTTAAATGAGGTTATGCTAGATTAGGCTGGGCCCTAATGCAATTAACAGTGTCCTTATATGAAGAGGACACTATCAGAAGAGAAATTTGGACAGAGACAGAGAGAAGGTCTTGTGAGAGTGGAGGCAGAAATCGGAGTGATGTGTCTACAAGCCAAGGAACTCCAAGCACTGACAGTCACCACCAGAAACTGGGAAGAAGACAGGCAGGGTTCTACCCTAGAGCCTTCAGAGAGCGAGCTTGGCTGTGCTGACACCTTGATTTCAGACATTTAGCCTTCAGAGCTATGAGACTAGATTTCTGTTCTTGTAAGCCACCCACTTTGTAGTACTTGATTGTGGCAGCCCTGTGAAACTAATACAGGGGAGATTAATAATGAAGGGACACAGATGATAAGAACAGGGGTGATGTCCTTGACAAGGTGATATGGAGCCATTTCCAAGGTACCAGGAAAGGGGCTGGCCTATGATAGTATCAGGACTACCTTCCTCCACTGAAATAAGTATAGCATCATTCAGGGTAGATCTAAACAAGTAATACCCAGAAGCTTCAGACTATAATGAATGCTTCAAACTACCCTTATAATTGATTCCCTGTCCTTTTAACTAACACAATATGCAACCTACATATTAAAGTTGCTAGTCTTCCTCTAAGTATTCAAGACCCAACCCATGAAACTTAAATACAGCAATTCTCTGCCTTCTAAAAGGAGTTTGAGGACAAAGAAGCAAGTCTTGCTGTAACTGGTTTGGCTCAGTGGATAGAGCATCAGCCTGCAGACTGAAGGGTCCCAGGTTCGATTCCGGTCAAGGTTCGATACCTTGGTTGCAGGCACATCCCAAGTAGAGGGTGTGCAGGAGGCAGCTGATCGATGTTTCTCTCTCATTGATGTTTCTAACTATCCCTCTCCCTTCCTCTCTGTAAAAAATCAATAAAATATATTTTTTAAAAAGGAAGCAAGTCTTACCAACAGGAATGGAACCAGATGCTCAGCTAATCGTCAAAACAGAACAACTAGGTGAAAAGCCTGGTAATCCAAAATCAGAAAGCCCCTTACCTTGAGTTGCTGCTGGAGTTCACTGTTCAACCGGGCCAGCACTGCATTTGCCTCTTTATTTTTGCGGATAGCAGTTTGAATAGCCTTCTTCTGTTTGGAAGACTGTCTACAAAAAGTACAAACAGTTCAGTGAAATAGAACTTAGAGGTCTGGACCCTTGTCAAGACTCGCTGATTCATGAGAAGTGCTAAATTAACAAGGGGCTAATGTCAGAGGGCTCCAAAAATAAAATCGTATGTTCACAGCCAGGCAGGCAGACACACCCCAAATAAAACAAATTTGTCAGGATGAATTATTTACACCTGAAGTAATTCCCATTTTATAACTTGAAGAAAGGCTGTGAATCGGCCTTTATAAACACTCTGCATTCCATTTATTCCAAGATAGTTTAATAAGTATTTCTTCTGGACAAACCATATTAACTGCAATGCCCTTTTTGTGTAAGCATTAATGGCATTTAAAAAACCTGCAGGTAGCCCCTGTGGACTAGTCTGAAGGTAAAAATAGAACATTCTCTTTAGCAAAGATCCTACATTAATTTAACCAGTTCCGATAACTCTCCTTTATTCCTTTATTATGAGGCATGAATGCCTGAGTATGAGCATGTGCATGTGTATACACCAGCATGTATATCTGTAACACTTGAGAAATACACAGAAATGTCTCAATACTTGTACTCCAAAATTAAGTCAACAGTAAACTCATTCAATCGATATAAATAAGGTGATCATATGTCTCACTTTGTCCATTACAGTATCTGCTTACACTGCTTGTCTGGCCCTTATTATTCTTAGCATCCTGTTTCTCCCTCAAAACTGTCCACAGTTGTGATAATAAATCAACATGGCTGTATAACCTACAACTTTATATCTCACAGCAAGAAATACTGAATATCAGAGCAAAATGGCAATTTAAATTCCCCTAGAAAAACAAACATATTTGTAATCATTGGGAGATGGGTTCTAGGCCAGAGCAACTCAACTGATATGCATTGTGACCACTGTAGTGATATGATTGATATTCATTGAGAATATTCTCTATGCCAGCCACTCTGCTAATCTGTATAAAGCATGCATACTCCCTTCCCCAACACATTCGAAAATTAATATTTCATCCATATATATGCAGGGAAGGGGCTTCAAAACCTACTTTTTAAAATATATAGATTGGATTTCTGGTTTCAAGACAAGATGGAAAAGATACACTTCTCTCTATTCCTTCTAATAAGTATATACAGTTAAAACCCTGGACATAATGTATACAAACATAAGATGACTCCAAAAAGTGGAATGGAGGTGGCTAGGGAATTCGGTACCCAGGGAAACATATTGCAGTAAATTGTTGTTGTTGTTGATTTTGTGTGTCTTGGAGGTTTATGTTTGTTTGTTTGTTGTTGTTTTTGCTTTATAGATCCCAGACTGGATAGTGGAGAAGGTGGCAATCCAAAAATGGACAAAATAAGTTGATGAACAAAATAGATGCAGAAACATAGAAGCATGTAACAGACTGTGGAATCTCAGAGAGAAGGCAGGGGAGGGAGGGTGGGTGGGAAGAGATCATATGCATATTTGCATACCCCATTGATGTAGACAATAGGTGGTGGGGGCCTGGGGAAAGGGACAGAGGAGGGCTAGAAGTCAATGTGGGGGAAAAGAGGACATATATAATACTTTCAACAATAAAGATATTTTTTTAAAAAAACTACAGTTGTCATACTTAATGAAAAAGTGAATGTTTTCCCCCTAAAATTAGGAACAAGACAAGATTTCTACTTTAATCACTATTTTCATGATAATATTAGAAATCCTAGCCAGCACAATAATGTGAGAAATTGTATTAAGGTACACATCTTGAAAAGAAATAAAATTGTCTCTATTTGCAGATGACATGATGGTCTATGTAGAAAATCCCAAGGAATCTACAAAATCCCCTAGAACTAATAAATTATTTCAGTATGGATAAAAAGGAATTTTCAGGATAGATTAACATACAAAAATCAAAAGAATTTCAATATACTAACAGTGAACACTGCAAATCAAAATAAAAAATATGGTACGACGGGCGAGAATAGAAGCGATCACAGGAGAAGAAGTAAGAGAGAAGAGATCAGCAAGAAGAGATCTTGGGAGAGGAGGTAAAAAGAGATCACACAAGAAATGTTGGGGGAGAAGAGGAGATCAGGCAAGAAAAGAAGAGGGCACAAGAAGAATTCACGAGAAGGGTAGAGTATCACCCAAAATGGGGAGGGTACAGAAGAGAAAAAGAGATCATGTGAGATAAGAGGAGTGCGCAAGAAGAGAAGTCATTACAGGAGAAGAGGTGCATAAAAAGAGATCACGTGAGAAGAGAAAACGGGAGAAGAGAAGAGCTCGTGAGAAAATAAGAGCATGCAAGAAGAGATCACGTAAGATGAAAGGAGTGCCTTTCTTAACCAGTGTTCTGATAGAGAATTAAGAAAATGATTTGTGACTCTGCTCAATTTTCTAAAAGATGATACAGAGTAAAGACCATTCTAGATGAATAGGAGAGAAATTTACTTACTATAGACAATGGATGTCTAAGGGCATCAGAGCTTAATTCTTTCCCAGAACACTGGCTGAGACAGGACCATATAGACTCACCATCGTGTGTATAGCTGTCTCTCTTCCTCAGGGCTTAAAAATTATTAATGCTATGTCACTTCTTATTACTTCAAAATAAACTGGTCTGGGAACTAAAGTCAGTTGTATGAAGTTCCCTGACCCCAAAGCTTAAATTCCTGCCATTTATAGCACTATTTGTGTTAACTGGTGGGTGCTAGTCTCTCAGCCTGACACCATGTGTTTTTACCTAACCAGTGAGAAAGTATCATAGTGAGGGACAGTCACTGAATAGGCAGATAAAATAGCTCCTTTCAACAAGTGGTGCTGGTCCAACTGGATATCCATATGCAAAAGAATGAAGTTGGACCCCTTCCTCATACTATACACAAAAATGAACTCAAAATTGGCTATAGGCTTCAATCTAAGATGTGAAACTACAAAACTTTTAGAAACAAACATAGGAACAAACCTTTATGACCTTGGGTTAGGCAATGGTTTCCTAGATGTGACACCAAAAGTGCAAGTGACAAAAGAAAAAATGAATAAATTGGACTTCATCAAAATTTAAAACTTTTGTGCTGCAAATAATACTATCAAGAAAGTGAAAACAACCCACAGAAGATATTTGCAAAGTATATATCTGATAAAGTACCTATATCCAGAATATGTAAAGATCTTATAACCCAAAAATAAAGATAAATAATCCAATGTAAAAATGGGCAAAGAATCTGAGGTAACATTTCCCCAAAGACAGTGTACAAATGGGCAATAAGCACATGAAAAGATGCTCAACCCCATTAGTCATTAGGAAAATGCAATCAAAACCACAATGCAATATCACTTCACACACTAGGATAGCTATAATAATAATAATAATAATAATAACAACAACAACAGATAACAACAAGTGTTGGCAAGGAAGAGAAGAAATGAGAGCTCTCATACATTATTGGCAGGATTGTAAAATGCAGCCACTGTGGAAAGCAGTTTGGCAATTCCTATGAATTAGGAGGTCACATTTGATTCCTGGTCAGGGCACATGCCCGGGTTGCGGGTTTGATCCCCAGTGTGGGGCATGCAGGAAGCAGCTGATCAAAGATTCTCTCTCATCACTGATGTTCCTATCTCTCTCTCCCTTCTCTGAAATAAATCAAAATATATTTTTAAGAAAGATCACGGGGATGTAATGTACAGATAGAAAAAAGAGTCAATAACATCGTAATAACTATGTAGTGACAGATTGTTAATAGAATTATTATGATCAATTTGTAAGAAATATAAATGCTGAATCACTGTGTTGTACACCTGAAATATAATACTATATATCAATTATAATTATAATAAATTATTTTTTAAAAATTTTTAAAAGAAATCACACCCTACATCTACTGAAAGTTGGGCCTGAGGGTCATGAAGCAAGCTATTTGCCATGGGGAAACATGAGACAAGACAGGCAAAGAGAAAACTTCCATTTATATTACTGTCTTCTTCCTGAGAAAATGTGGGCCAGTACAAGGAAGAGAGATCAGAAGAAGTGGAAGGGGAGGGAGGAAGGGAAGGGAAGGGAAGGAAACATACCATGGCCTTGTCCTCACTTGCCCCTTGTGTCAGGATATGTCCTATAGCTTAGAAGCCTCTTTCTATGTGACTGGAAAATAGTAATCCCATCACAGAGATAAGTAAGGTAAGACTACATCCATAAAATCACACCCTTTTATGGTATGGGTGTAAATGTAAACATCTACATTTACATATACATGAAGATTTAAAAGGAAGCCTCCAATCCTGCTCTCACTTATCTGTTCTACTTACTTCTGGACTATTGGATGGGGTTTCACAGTTGCTACAGACGCTGGCCCGCCAACGGTGGTAGAAGGCTCTTGATTTTCTGTAGCTTGATTTTCTGGTCGTAATTTTCTACGGATGGGCTTTGATGGAGGCTGAGAATATGGTGTGTCCTGTAGATTAAGAACAAAATAAACCCCCCCCAACAGTTAAAAAAAAACAGGCATGTGTTCTATTGAAACTCTGCATCCAACGATATGTGACTGATTCTTGGCTAGGTAAGAGCGGGACATGGGCATCAGATTTCAGTGGCCTTTGTTTCTTTCCTTCTTTTTTTCATGCTTGCAGCCTATTATCTTTTTGTCACCTGGAAGGACCCAAGAATCAGATTCCAGGGGTCCACCAACCCTCTTTTCCTTCCTATTTTAAATGCCGTGTGCATCTCACAGCACAGAGCCTTTCCACTGAAGAAAATTCACTCTTGCTCTACTTTGGGGCTTTTTGGAATATAGTTTTGAAGTTTGTAATGATCTTAGTCATAAGTTCAGAATTCTCCTACCCCCAATTGCTACATGAAATCAAGCTCAAGAGCCACAGTGTCTTCTGGAAGGAGACAGATGGCCTGCTTCCTTGAAGGCCCCTGCTTTACCTGTGTTCCTGAGCCCAGGGCCCACTCTCTTTCATGAGAGAAGGGCCTGAGAAAATGGGGAAGGACAAGAAGAGGGTGAGAAAATGAAAGGACAGCACCATGACTGAGTGGTGTTTACTGAGCAAATGACCCAGGACTCAGTGACACAGATAGGCTGAGGTGAAGATGCTAAGATGCAGAAGAGACCACAGCACAAAGACAAGGATGGAACAACCACCATGCCCCCAAAACGTACTCCTAGAGGCTTAGCAGTGTGTGGGATTCTGAAAAAGGCATCTGTCCCTCCCCACCTCACCTCTTAGTCTTACCAACAGCAAAGCCGCCATATTTAGCTGGGAGGTTGAAGAGGAAAATACAAACTGTCAGTGACATCAAGGTCCAGCCCAGGAGTCATCAGGGACCCCATCTTCACAAAGAACCCAAATTCTAGGAAATCTGGGTCATTAACATTAACGTCAGGACATCAAAACCTTAAAATGGTAGATGTGCTCACAGAAACAAAAAGCCCAAGGAAGGACTCGCAACGCCATCCCAGTGGCACCCTTGTGCTGGCCTTACCTTCTTTGTTGGACTACTCTCTGCAGCTTGCGAGGGGGCTCTGTTCAGCTGGGGGTGTAGCTCAGCTTCAGACGCTTGTTCAGACTACAGCAAAAGATCAGAAAGAAGATAAAAACGTCAAACCATAACCACCCAAATATATAATGAGGAGCACTTAAGAAAACAATCACTATGAGGAAATTGATTTAGATCAGGTTACAACCAAGCATATGCAAGTCTGCTGATCCTTGAGAAAACCTTCTATAGACCCCGCTATTCCCTCCCATCCTTCCTTCCAACATTGTTGAATCTTAGGAAAAGGAGTCATGAGGATGTCTTCTATAAGTGGACATATATATTGCTAAAAACTAACACTACACAAGTTCAAACTGAAAATAACAGAGCTTACTGGAAAAACAGGGCTGGGAAAGAAGTTAAAATTTTAACCTGGACACTAACAAAAACAATAATCATAATTTAAAAACACTGAAATTTAAAAATATATATTAAATTCCTAATAAAGAAACATTCTAGTAGCTATGACTCCTTACCTTAAATAAGGTAAGGGAGGGTAAGCATGATGGAAGCAGTAAACAGGGGTTCCGGCTGCTAAGTGATACAAAATCAGTGAATGGGTGCACAAAGATGGGCAAAGACTGCCCAAAGCCCTTCTAGACAGAGCGGGCACCAAAGAGCCAAGCAGAAGACCTAGGGAGACTGGGTACCATCTCCCCTCATTCCCTCAGCCCAAGGCTGCTACATTCAGCTGTGCTAGAGCATTATGTTTTCAGCTGCTACTGGCCAGGGATGCAAAATAGTAACATTGGGGTGGGGGGGTGGGGGGCGCCTTCATTCAAACCAACATATATCCACATTATATTGACATCAGTCATCTATTTACACACAAACTAATTTGGGTTACACAAGCACACATTACAGCATAAGAGCCAGCCTTAGTGTTCCCCCTTCATCCCTAACCTAACCTCTTCTGAATGTGGCTTCTTTCTTCCTGACTCTACTGAAAAGGCGTGTACCCAAGGACACTACTGCTCTCCCATTTAGCTGATTCTAGTGGCCTCTTCTAGTCTTCTCTAGACCAGTCCCTGGCATCTGATGAACCGTGATCTCCTACGAAAATCATCTTTCTTTCCTGTTGACTTCTCTTATTACCACACAGACATAAGATTTCTCAAGGTTCTGTCATATATTGTCCAATTTTCCCCTCCCTCTTTATTCTTCCCAGAGTAATCTCATCTGCTCTTACATTTTCACCGCCCTATCTAGAAACCTTGGTTCAAAACCAGCTCCCACCTGTTCCGAGCCCATTTTACAAGTACTCAACATGCCTGATTTCTAGTTCCAACTTTTTCTTATAGTCTTCTCCTTTCCATTAAGGCTAACTGTATTATTATGAATTATTATTATTAGATACTGCAAAACACAGAATACTTACTATGTGTTACACATTATTCTAGGTCCGGGGTGGGCAACCCCTGGCACGTGTGCCAAACATGGCACGCCTGTAACTTTTGCTGGCACAAGAAACCCTCTCTTATAATCTTTCATTTACAATTTTTGTGAACATTTGAATGACTTAAATGTTAAATTACAAGGAACTGGCAAGACACTTGATGTTATGTTTGGTTACATAAAGGCTTTTGAAAAGAAACTGGAAGTCTTTAAGAGGGATGTGGATGGTGAGAGATTTAGATATTTCCCAAACCTCAAGAGGCACATCAAAGACCTCCCAAAAGATGACAGAACACACTGTCAAAGCCTTCAAAAGCTGTTTTTAAACATCATCGAGTCAACTATTGAGCAGTTCTTCTCAAGATTTGCGAAATTCAGAGAACTGGAAGAGACAGCAACATTCACCACTCCAGAAAATTTTTTGTTTAAAAAACTTTGCAACAGCGTTACTCTCCATGTTTTCACCCACATACGCTTGTGAATCTTTGTTCTCAGTGATGAATTTTGTTAAGTCTCGGAATAGGAGGAGCCTGACGGATGAAAGTAGTAGCTCGTGTATATCTCTACAGGTCACAAAATATAAACCTGATGTAAAATCTCTGTCATCAGTGATGCAGCAGCAAAAGTCCCACTGATAATATCAGAGTCATAAAGTTTTCTGTTGGACTAACAGTGTACATGTATATATTAAAAAATAAATGTATTTTTCATCATCATATACTATGTTTTTGTCTCTCGAATGAATTTTATTATTTCTTAAAGGTTCTTCACATATGTACACCTTAAGAGATATCAAGTAGGCGTAACATGTTCTCAAAAAATTAGGGTTGGCACGCAGAAGAATTTTGAGTCAGAGATTTTGCTGGTTTTGGCATGCACTCACAAAAAGGTTGCCCACCCCTGTTCTAGGTGCTTTGCATGGATTATGTCATTTCATCACACATCCTAGGAAATAGTTATTATCCCCATCTTATTAGTGAAAAAATTGAGGATTGAGAAGAAACTCACTCAAAATCACACAAATAGAAGGGTCTGAACCCAGGCCTCAGGTCCTAATGCTGGACTATGCTTTATATTTCCTGGGCCAAGAAATATCTACTGAACAGCTACTACAGGCAGGCCTTATGCTGACACGGGTATTAAAGGATGAGCAAGCCCCAGACCTTGCTTTCAAGGAGTTTGAAGTCTAGTGGGAAAGGCAGAGAAATGATGGGTCACACATGCTTCAGTGGAATTAAGATGGTGGTAGGGAAGTGTGAGGGCTCCAGAAGCACTCAGCCTTCTGGGTCAGCAAAGATTTAGGTGAAGGTGATATCCCAGCTGAGATCAGAGTAATAAGCAGGGTGCAGCCAACCAGAGGGGCACCACATGGAGACAGTGAGAAAGGAGGCTCAAAGGGCCTCCTATGCTCCAATACCCAGAATATCAGCCTGGGGTACCACAAGAACACTGAGGCCAATCACCAAGAAGGAAACCACAGGACAAGCAGGTATGAGGGGGAGCTCACTTTGAGGCCTACTGAGTTTGAAGCATGTGGGAAAAACCCAAGCAAGCCATGTAGGAGCCTTCACTATCAGGAGTCTGGGGGATGCAGGCACTCACCCACCTTCCTGGGAATTCTGACAAATGGCATCTTACTTGAAGATCTGCCAGCCTCCTGTCAGTTTTATTAAGGGCTGAATGAGGGCCCAATAAACCCCCAAATGAAGGGATTCCCATGAATTCTACTAAAGAATTACAAATTGGGCCAAACATCCTTTGTTGCCTTCTACCTAAAATCTATTGCTTGGAACACTATGTTCTGGCCCCAAGCCTATGTGTGTAGCCCCCTGCAGGGACCTCAGGTACACTGCACATTCCACCAGCCAGGCAAGAGAAAAGGAGAGGCAGAGCAGTCAATTACTCTGCCTTTCAATTGGTCAGCTCCCTTTTACCATCAAGCAGAGAGAAGCATTTTCCCTAAGACTCCCTTTCCTAGAGGGATGAATGAAGTCTCCTTCTTGTGAAAATATTAAAGGAAATGATAAATTGGATCCTCTTTTTTTTAATGACGTTTCTGAGCACAGCAAAAGTAGTAGCTGTACTTGTCATTGCTTTCATTTTCTTGTAACCATCTCTAAAAACACAAACAACAATGGGTTGGGGGTTGGAAAGGATAAGAAAGCAGTTGTGAGATGTATCTGAATTTATTTTTTCATTTACATATATGTATCTTCCTGAAATGGCATCCAGAGGCCTGGGTTTTCTAGCATATGACCAGTAATTAATAACTCCTCAGCATTATGTCAGGCTGGATGGAACCATCAATCTCCTTACAAAGAAACTCAAGACCTCCCCACCCTTTTGTACTGCTCCATAACTGATTCTAAATGGGCCCATCTGTTGAACATACAAAGGAGTGAATCTCATGAGGAAGCAGGAAGGTCCTGGAAAGGCAGAGCCTCACCAGAGCCAGAAATTATCCCAGGAAAAGAGATGGGGCAAGAAAACTAGCCTTGTGGGGGGAAAAACTAAAGATGAGATTTAGACATGTAAAAGCCTTTCTTCCCAATAAACTATTTCACTTTCATGAAAAGTAGTATGAGGTTTCCATTAGACTTACAGCTGGAAAGCAGCAGAACAAACCAGGGAGATTTCTTTGCTTTTCTTTAGACTTTTCTAACAACAATTTTGGGGAAATGATAACTCGTGAAAGCAGGGGGTCTCAGTGGCTCCCTTTTTCTTCCATGTATTAAAGAAAGAAAGGGGGAACAACTCTGCTATCAATATGGACAATATGCCCTTGTCCAAAAGTATAAGTTGTCTGAACTGAAATCCAATGCTTGAATCTTGTGAAAGAAACAAATGTTCAGATTACAATATTGCAAATGGCAGTGCTTCCCTCATGACTCCTATGTAACAGTATGCACCCAGCCAGGATGTGACAACCCAGGAAAAATGTACTTTTAGTCAAGAGCTCATTGAAATTTGAGCTAAGTTCCAATTAAAAATATATCTCTCATATTTTAATATTAATATTCCCCTACCCACAAAGGAGAAATATATTTCATTCTAGTTTTGTAATAAAAAGCCTGAATAGGTCCAATTGATGTTGAGGTGCTGCCTCAGGATGTAGAAACTTGTTCTGGGCTTTTCCCAGTCCTATGGTTGATGGGACAACATGGCTCCTGTTCAGTTGGCTCTCCAGAAACGAACATGGCCCAGGGAGGCTAAGCATTTTAATTCTGTATCAGAAAAGGGGTTTATTCAGTTATTCAATTATACAGGTTTTTATTTCATACATCTGATGTGTCACTTTCCAAGAATCCTCATCTCAGGTTCTGGACCCCAGACACCAGGCAAAGTGCTCCTAAACAAGGGGTGTTAAAACACTTAGAAGAGGGTCCTCCAGCCTTAGTCGAGCCTTCAGATGATTACAGCCCAGACTGACATCATGCCTGCAGCATAATGAGAGAGCCCGAGCCAGAACCACTCAGATTAGTTGCTCCCACATCTCTAACACATAGAAACTATGAGATTATAAATGTTAACTGTTTTAGGACTCTGAAAAAAAAACTCTAGTATGTCTACAATTTGGGGCCTAGTAGGGTGGAATAAGGATGAGTGGTGGAGAAGAATGGGAGAACTGAAGCTGA